GGCTTTTAATTTCTAATTTCTTTTGGAGTATTTTTCCGTGAAGCAAAAATCACGTGTTCACAGGAGGTACTCGCGAACGCGAAGAAGGAGGGAGAGAAAGCTACGTGAACGCAACCGGAGGGACGCGAACGCGAAGAAGGAATCCCTGCTGCAGATTTTCTGCAGTTTTTCTAAGTCCAAAACCACCCCGATACCTATCCGAAACTCACCCGAACCCTCGGGGCTCCAAACTAAATATGCACACTGACTCAAAAACATCATACAAACTTACTCGAGCGATCAAATCGCCAAAATAACATCAAAATCAATGAATTGAGCCTTAAATCCAAGAAATCTTTCAAATTTCATAAACTTCCAAATTTTTCAATTTAAGGCCGAAACACATCAAACGACGTCCGTTTTCAACCAAACTTTATAGGAAGCGCTTAAACAACATATATGACCTGTATCAGGCGTAGGAACCAAAATACGAGCCCGACACCATTACTTTTTGATCAAATTTTATTTTCATTTTCCTTAAACATTTTCAGAAAACAATTTCACGGAAAAATTCATTTCTCGGGCCTGGGACCTCGGAATTCGATTTCGGGCATACGTCCAAGTCCCATATTTTCCTACGGACTTCCATGACCATCAAATCAGGGGTCCGGGTCCGTTTATCAAAAATGCTGACCAAAGTCAATTTTAATCATATTAATATTAAAATTTAACAAATTTTTCACAGAATTCATATTTGAACTTTCCAGCTACGCGCCAAGACTGCGTACGCAAATCGAGGCAACTAAAACTGTGGTTTTCAAAACCTCGGAAGGACGAAAAAAAAAATCCGGTGATGACCCTTTGGGTCGTCACAAATATTTGTTAATATAATATTTAATAGTACTTTAATTGAATTACTAGTAATTTAAAATAAAAAAATAAATTATCCAAATTTACATGCTAAAAAATAGTTTCAATTATTCAACGTTCGAAAAAATATCTTAATATTCAGATGTATATTAGATTCAGACGTCTTAATATTAATAAAAATAAATAAATCTAAAATTTAACTAGACTAGATATGAAATCATTATCAAGATCAATTTAGTGAAACCTTTTGATCTTGCATCGCTGACGTCAACAAGCGTAATCATGTTAGAGACGCCCCCTCCCTTTTTTTTTTTTTTCCCATTTATCAGTTCTTATTCTATCCCCGGTTGGCCCCTCCTTAGAATGTGACATTTATGGTGAACTTTCCTTTTTAGAACATGGAACGACTTCCAAATCGAACATGTATTTTCTCCTCTAAAGATGCACTATAAGGGATCGTTTGGTTACGATACGACTTATTCTGTGATTAGTTATGTTGTGATTAGTTATTTTGGTATTGTTTTTTATCCACTGTTGAATATGTTGTATTAAAAATGATAATTGCATAATTTCTAAGAAGAATGTATAAGTTATCCCTGTACTAATTTCAATCCCGGGATAACTTATGTCAGGTTTGCTAACCAAACAAAGTATTAAGGTGGTATTAAATTTTTATACCAGCACTATATCTACTTATACCTTGTACCAAACAACCCCTAAAAGAATAGAGTTTAAGCATCGCCAGTATAAAGAATTGTTTAAACTATTAAATTATCTAAATACAAATAAATTCTTTTTAAAATATGAGATTTGTAATCTTAAAAATAAAAAATTCTTCGTAATAACTATGTTACCCCAAAAAAAATAAAAAAATTACATACACATGAAAAAGAGAAATAGAGAGAAAGGGAAGAAAATGGAAAAATAAATAACACGCTATAATTCTTCCACATAGCATCAACGCACCTATGTAGTCAACCACTTGAAAAGAAATTAATGAGAGAAAATTAACAAAACCATATTTCTAGCTACATAAACATATTTTAGTTGCAGCCGCAAAAATTAAACAATTAATTAGTCACAACTATAGCCCCAACCGACCACTTAATTTATCACATTATATAGAAATTTTTCATTACTCAGTCAAATTACTCGCTAAACATCTCTTTATTTTTCTTCTTTATTATTTTCCTAATCACTCTCTCCTTACCCCACCTTCAACAACACCCTTTTCAATTATCATCACAAAATAAACACAATATATATATACATAACCCTTGATCTATATTTCAACTAGAGATAACCCTCTCTCCCTTTCTAATAATTTCTCTCTTTTTTCATGGTGTCTAAAATGCTTAGATTGCCAAATATACATATGAATTTCCCTACATTTTCAGCAGACTTTTTGCCTAAACCATCAATTATCAGATTAAATGAAGGTAACCTAGCTGCACCTGTACCAAAAATTATATCCACTAAGGAAATTTCCAAGAACATAGCTCATAGTGTTACTACTAGTATTAATACTACAATGGATCGTAGTTGTAGTAGTAATACTAGTAGCAGTAATAGTAGTAGTAGTAATACGGAGAGATTGGCTTCGATGTGGAGAGAAGTTCAAGGGTCAAATAACTGGGAAAACCTAGTAGATCCATTGGATTCTCTTCTCCGCGAGGAGATTATTCGATATGGAGAGTTTGTGGCTGCTTGTTATGATGCATTTGATCTTGATCCAAATTCAAAAAGATACTTGAATTGCAAGTATGGGAAGAAGAGGATGTTAAGAGAAGTAGGGTTGGGTGATTCAGGCTATCAAGTGACAAAATACATATATGCCACTCCAAATATTAATGTCTTCCACATTGGTGGCAATAATATTGGCTCATCATCATGTGGGAGATGGATTGGTTATATTGCAGTATCAAATGATGAAGAAACAAAGAGACTTGGTAGGAGAGATGTGCTTGTTACTTTTCGTGGAACGGTCACTAGCCCTGAATGGATAGCCAATTTGATGAGCTCATTATCTCCTGCTCGTCTTGATCCTCATAATCCGAGACCTCAGGTTAAGGTTGAAGCTGGATTCTTGAGTTTGTACACATCAAATGAGGGAGAAAAGTTTGGCCTTGAAAGTTGTCGCGAACAATTACTTTCTGAGGTAGGGAAAGTACTAAACAAGTACAAAGGGGAGGAAATGAGCATAACTTTGGCAGGACATAGCATGGGGAGTGCATTGGCCCTATTGCTAGCCTATGACATCGCAGAGTTGGGCTTGAATCGTGACAGGTTATCGAACAATCACATAACAGTACCGGTGACGGTTTTTTCCTTTGGAGGGCCAAGAGTTGGAAACTCTGGCTTCAAAGAGAGATGTGAAGAGCTAGGTGTAAAAGTTTTGAGAATAACAAATGTAAATGACCCTATAACAAAACTTCCTGGGGTTTTTTTGAATGAACATTTTAGGGTTTTGGGTGGGTGGTATGAGGTACCATGGAGTTGTTCATGTTATGCACATGTTGGAGTTGAAATCTTGTTAGATTTTTTCAAGATGCATAATCCTTCATGTGTACATGATTTAGGAACTTATCTTAGTTTGCTCAAGTGTCCTAAAAGATTGCAAGTTCAAAGAGAAGAATTAGGCATTGATTTCTTCAATAGAGCAAAGGAGTTTGTCATTTCTGGAGCTCAAAACTTCAATGCCTTGCAATTGAAAAATGCTGCCATGAATATGGTGAACTTGGTTCAGTCCCAAAAGACTTAAAAATTACATTATGGCATTATCTAGATCTAGTGATGTATTTTAACATTAACCTAAAAATAGATAGCTTTTTTGTAGAATATACAACTCTAATTTGCATCCTCTGGGAACATCGTGAGGTTTAAAGGGCAGCCCGGTGCACTAAGCTCCTGTTATGCGCGGGGTGAGGGAAAGGACCGGATTATAAGGGTCTATTGTATGTAGCCTTACCCTGTATTTCTGCAAGAGAGACTATTTTCATGGTTCGAACCCGTGACCTCCTGATCACACGACAGCAATTTTACCAGTCACGCCAAGCTCCCTCCGAGAAGATTATGAGGTTTACAGTTTGCAAATACATATTGTACAATATTAGTAATTGCAAATAATGCAAGGGAAATCAACTCGATATCAGAATATCTTCTTCTTTATTTTATTTAGTATCATTTGATTAGGTATATCTAAGGGGTTAAACAAACCTGTTAGTACTTGGTTATGGACTCACCGACAACAAATCTTTCCCCAAACATAAAAATAAAAATTAAAAAAATATTAAATGGGATGAGAAGAAGATAAATAGAGGGATCGGAGGTGACCGACCAGGGTTATGGTGGAGTGAAAAATACTCATTTATCCTTAATCTGAGGTTTCGGGATCGAGCTTTGGGTATAAATTTACCTTTGTTAATTAAGGAGCGCTTTATCCCAATATAAAACTTTTGGTGCGATCCTGAATTTAATCGGACCCTAATGCAGAATAGCGGGAAGGACACTAAAAATAAAAATAAAAATAAGGGAGATACATATGGTGCATATTAAAGCTCTTATTTCATGGTTATGATATGTTATTTGATACTTAGTACGTAATAGATTCTAAGACTAGGTCAATGGAATAAAAATACTCAAAGCATATCTTAACTATTATTCCTCCGTCCAAAACTTATGTTCCTATTTCTCTGTCATCCTATATTTATTTGGACATTTTTTTTCTATTTTAATTGAACTCAACCTGTAAGAAGGGGCGGAGCTAGAGCTTCGGACGCGGGTTCGGCCGAACCCAGTAGTTTTGGTCCAATCTCTATATTTACTTTTAAAAATTTATTGAATATGTATAAATTATTAATTTAGAACCCAGTAACTTAGAAGGAATAAAACCCCGAACATTAACTTCAAATTCTGGCTCCGCCTCTGCATATAAGGTTCCAGAAAATTTAAAATTAATACATTAGCCCCTTCGTTTGTTCCTAGTTTAAGCAAGAGAATTAAATCCAACATATATTAATCATTATAGCATGGAAAATAAGATCGATGCAGTAGAGGTTGACTCTAAAAATGATGAAGATTATTCCAAATATATATGACAGAGACGATTACGAGTATTTGGAAAAAACAATAAAGAAAAAAATATTGTTGTATTTTCAAGTTTGAACTAGAACCTGACGTAAAGAGAAATGACGATGTATACGCCTTTTTTTTTTCCAAGTTTGATTTGTAGGCATAGCTAGTTTCTTCGTACGACTTTGTGTTTATGGTTTTGTTTTAATAAATTTAAACCATCTCGAGGTGGTTTTATTAAAAAGGTCAAAGAAAAAATTCATTGACAATAGTAGAAACTTTTTTAGAAAAAAAATTAATGTCAGTGTATATAATTAGAGTTTGACAGTATTCTTTAATTCAATCTTATTTTATCTTGCTGCTATTCTTACTTGTTGCAATTACCTTTTCTTTTTCAGTCATTTTTGCTGCTATTCTTACTTGTTGCAATTACCTTTTCTTTTTCAGTCATTTTTGCTGCTATTCTTACTTGTTGTAATTACCTTTTCTTTTTCAGTCATTCTCTAGTTAGCCGAGGGTCTATCGGAAACAACCTCTCTGTCCTTCCAGGGATAGGGGTCGTAAGGCTGCATACATCTTACCCTCCCCAGACCACACTTGTGATAAATTACTAGGTTTGTTGTTATTGTTGTCGTCAGTGTATATAACTTAAATTCTTTTTATATTAATTGACTTTTGCAAACTATCGTTGAAGTTAAAGCATTATGCTACATCTTTTCTCGTGCAACTATGAATAATAATGTAAACGTCCAATTTCAATAAAGGAAAAACAATAAACTCCACGAAAAAAAGTGGTTTACCAATTTTCTGGAATGAAATAGTAGTTGTGTTCTATTCACACGTACGCAAGAAGTATTATTCAAGAGCTTAGTCAGATTGTTGAAATTAAGTTTCATCAGCAAAACAAAGAGTCAGTGATGGTGAATTAATTAAATAAAAAAAGAGCTTATTCTCCGACCAAAAAATGAAAGAGAGAATCGGAATAGAAATATGAATAACAAAAAATAAAAATAAAAAAGGAAAACACACTTATATGCACAGGCAAATGTCAGATGCGGATCCAGAATTTAAATTCTATGAATTCATCTTTTAAGGTTTTTAGAATTGAACCTATTTATATTTTTAAAGTTATGGGTTCATTTCTACTATTTTTGAAATTTTAATGAATTTTTACATATAATTTTTTACCCACCATCGAAAGTTATGAGTTCATATATACTATTGTGCACTTTTAATGAATTTTTACATATAAATTTTTACTCTGCATCGAAAGTTATGGGTTCAATTGAACCCGTCATTAGTACCCTAGATACGCCTCTGGCGGAGGTAGAAGTCCAGATATCAGTTCGATCGGATCAATAACTTTTGCTTAAATAATGTATTTATATTAAGAAGTTGATTATTATATATAGGCCAAATACATAACTGGACCTTTAAATTTGGCCCTTTTTATCATTTGGACACTTAAACATAGAGTTGTTCCTATCAGACCCTTCAACTAAATCACATATATGCCGATTAGACACTTTGTAGACCATCTGAGAAAAACTTTATCAAAATTATCATTGGATATCTAATTAGCTACACTTGTGTATTTGGCTTTCTTCTTTGCTTATGAAATAGCTGCATTTGTGTAAATGACAGCTTTGCTCTTTTGCTGAAGTACTATTTTTGTTAAAAATTGTTAATGTCAAAATGCAACTTCTATCAATCACTTGTGTGTTTTAGTTTGTAAAGTTTTATTCCAGTAGCTTCCAAGCGTCATGTAAATAGAACAAGCATACCAAATGAGAATACTCAAATCTATGTACAATATTATACTTTCTTTTTAAAAAAAATTAAGAGGAAAAATGAAATTCATGGGAAGAAGAAGAGAAATAGAATGTAAGGTAAAAGTTAGCTTTAATTGAAATAATATATTAGAATATAATAATAATAATAATAATAATAATAATAATAATAATAATAATAATAATAATAATAGTAATAATAATAATAATAATAATAATAATAATAATAGTAATAATAATAATAATAATAATAATAATAATAATAAAAAAATAATAATCCAAAACCTTATTGTCTTTTCCCATGCACTCAATCATGTCACTACAAAGTGTCTAATTGGCATAGATGTGGTTTAGTTAAAGGGCTTAATAGGAACAACTCTATGTTTAAGTGTCAAAGTGACAAATTAAAAAAAGCCAAGTTTAAGGGTCCAGTTATGTATTTTGCCTTAT